ACCAGGGACCGCGCACTAGGGACCCGGGCGCCACCAGCCCGCCACGCGCCGGGAGCCGACCGAGCCCGCGCCTGGGCGTCGGGCTGAAAGACTACGCCGCCGCGGGAGGACAACGGAGGGACGACCGCCGCGACAGGGCGGGAATCCGTGCGGGAACGGGTTAATGTCCTCTGCCAGGACTGAGCTGATGAGAAGCAGCGAGCGAACTGCAGGGCAGCTCAATCCGCTGTCCTGTGCCTACACTTGACGGCGAGAGCACGTCTGCCATCCAGTATCGATCCGGACTGCGCGCGTCTGTGATACTATGAGAATTCATCTGGAGAGAAGGGCTCTCGGCGCCGCAGATCGTGCGTGCTGGCAAACCTCTGGAGCTCAGGACGCTGCACGGTTCGGGCATCGAGCTCTTGGCTGATAAGTGCCTCCTCCCCTGGGGCAAGAGGAGTGGGGAGGGGAAGGGATCTAATTTTCGGCTGTCCTCATATAAAGTGGTTTCTCTGTTCACACTTTCCACTTAAGCTACCCAGAGACATGACTTAATGCCTAGCTGGCCTGTTTAGCATGGAGAAGATTGAGTGAGAAATGCTGCTGGAATCGGCATCGCATCCGCTTCCCTGTACATGACAAGGGACACGGCAAGGGATGTGCGGTAGACCAGACTCAACAGATTGTCGTCTGGCCCCCTGCCACCAGTCCGGCACTTCGCTGTTGTTGTTAAGAACCAGAAGAGATTTGAAAGTTTGTAATACTAAGTGAACAGTGAAATAATTAACCAATATTCGGCAGAGAGACCGTGCCAGCCTTTAATAACAAAAACTTGTGCAGTGTGAGAACAGGAAGGGCAAAGAACTGTGCTCAAGGCTGCTCGCAATAGATAGATAGATGATAGATAGATAGATAGATAGATAGATAGATAGATAGATAGATAGATAGATAATAAAGAAAATTTAAAAATCTGAAGGCAGGATTAAAGTGGAATGTAGACTAAGAACCTCATTATCAGTGAAGTGATTTTACATGGAGGACACTATTTAAGGAAAGAGGCACAAATGTCTATTCGACTCTGATTATGTATCAGATTATGCTAGAGAAAGAGAGAAAGAGAGAGAGAGAGAATACTCTTTATGCAATAGGTAGATTAAGTTAGAATGTAGACGACCAGCAAGAATCACACAGGACAAATTCAAACCAAAGCCTAAGCAGATTCCAATGTCTGGATTCTTTCTATTATACCAGTAACTTCAAACCACTTCTTTAACTGCCTCTCACAATGAGCAATAAGTCTTAAAGTACACACACACACACACACACACACACACACACCTTAAAACAAGTTTCAAAAAATAATACTTAACAACACTCTAGATTATCAGGTTTTCTGGCCAGTCCCATTGTGTTTAAGAACTGGATTAAGATCAGAAGTTACGGTGCTTCTCATTAAATCACATGGCGTCATGTACAATATTTTGCAATCAAAATTCACATCCTGAATCACTAAAATGCTGTGGTCCTACGTAGCTTGATAAGCTCAGTTTCCCAGGTTAATCGTTTCTGACATGTCAGCTGCGCATGACATCACTTATAACACAAATTTTTCTCTGTCTTCCTCTCATTCTTTCTTCTCATGACCCAGAAATGATTGTGATGTGGAAACACGAGTGTAAGGATGGTGATACTTTAAGGCCGGCCCTTGCCAGGAAGGCTTTTTCCCTGAGCCAAAAAAACATCGCCACATGTTTTCCCTAAGAGCCTACCGCGCCCCGCCCCGCCCCCTTCAATAACAGCCCTCTGGAAAGCAGTGTACACCAGAAACTTTTTTTAAAAAAATCTTAATCTGCCACTTTCTGGAAAATATTTGGTAAGAAAACTGTTTACTGCCTAGTATTGGTGATTGTGAATGATCTGAAATTACCTCAAGGATATCATTGTGAAGCTGAGGATGGCAGGTTAGCCATAAGCATCCACAGAACTAAAAGTTTGCCTCACGGCGGTAAGCGTAAACAGCAGGGCATGAAGGTGCTCACGTGCTACGGAACTCACGTGCTACGGAGCTCAACTATAAAATACAGACACTGGGCGGAAACGATGCCAAAGTGTTCCTTGACCTAGTAAGAATTGTAAGAGTTTTTAGATCTTTTAAGTATCCTGCAAAAAGAACACACAACTCTGGTTATCAGAAGGAAAAAAAAACAAAAAACAAAGAATACATCTCCAAAAAAAGCTAGAATTAAATGTGGCAGCTTTCCCTAGGACAGCACAAACATCAAATGGAGACTTGTATATTTACTAAGCATTCTCTATGTCCCTGACACAGAGGTGGCAGTCTCTGCCGTGTGGACCTTCCAACTGGAGAACACTCCTAGGAGTTAGAAATTGGAAAGATTTAAAATGTTGGTGAACGAAAGGACTTGTAGCACACCTCCCACTCAGGGAGAAACCTGGAGGATTCTTCAGAACGCCAGCAATCCTTTCTGTTTTCTCAATAAAGCATCAAGATATAGAGAGTGGGGCCCAGAAAGTGAGTGAAAGTTTGTGGTATCCACCTCCTTCCTCTTCAGGTTGCCAACATGTTTCTCCTTTTAAACATGTAGAACCTTCTTCTGCTCCATCATACTTGGACAAAAATTCATGTGTGCGGAATCATCTCTCAAGATTTAAGTCTTTAGTTGTGGAATAAGTTCGACTTCAATTCATAAAGTTTGAAGGGAGAAAGAACTCGACAGCAGAAGGGAGACAAGTGGGAAGAACGGGGGACAAGAGAGGGTGTGAGCCAGATATAGTCCACACCTACTGCGCTGTCTAGATTTCATCGGTTTGACACAAACTAGAGTCACCTGGGAAAGAAAGAACTTCATTTGCAGAGTTGCCTGCATCGTATGGGCCTGTGGACATATCTCTGGGCATTCCCTGATTCATGATGGATGTAAGAGGCCAGGTTGCCCTCTCTCAGAACAGCCTTAACTGTTTAAGAAAGCAAGCTGAACAAACCAGAGGGACCAAGCCAGTATGTCCTCTACCTCAGTTTGCCTCCAGGTCCCCGCCTCCCTCCAAAATTTTCCTCCAAAATTCAAGATGTTGTTATTTTTTTCTGCTGTGTAGTACTCCACTGTGTAAATGTACCACATTTTACTTGTCCATTCTTCGGTCAAGGGGCATTTAGGTTGTTTCCAGTTTCTGGCTATGACAAACAATGCTGCTATGAACATAGTTGAGCACATGTCCTTGTGACACGATTGAGCATCCTTTGGATTATATACCCAAAAGTGGTATTACTGGGTCTTGAGGAAGGTTGTTTCCTAATTTTCTGAGAAATCGCCACACTGACACCCAAAGGGGCTGTACCAGCTTGCATTCCCACCAGCAATTGAGGAGTGTTCCCTTTTCCCCACAACCTCTCCAGCATAAATTGTCATCAGTGTTTTGATCTTAGCCATTCTTACAAGTGGAAAATGGAATCTCAGAGTTGTTTTGACTTGCATTTCTCTGATGACTAAGGATGTTAAACATTTCCTTAAGTGTCTTTCAGCCATTTTAGATTCCTCTGTTGAGAATTCTCTGTTTAAGTCTGTACTCCATTTTTTTTATTAGATTATGTGTTCTTTTGATGACCAATTTCTTGAGTTTTTTGTATATTTTAGAGATCAGACCTCTGTCTGATGTGGGGTTGGTGAAGATCTCTTCCCATTCTGTAGGCTACTGTTTTGTCTTGTTGACCGTGTCCTTTGCTTTACAGAAGCTTTTCAGTTTCAGGAGGTCATGGTATTTATCAAATCAATGGAAAGCAAATTAGGACATACTACATATATGCAGAGGACATACTACATATATGCACAGGACATACTGCATATATGCACAGGACATACTACATATATGCACAGGACATACTACATATATGCACAGGACATACTACATATATGCACAGGACATACTACATATATGCACAGGAC